TAATCGATTGCTAAATTAGTGATTGTCACTTATTGATTAATTGCGATTAATCGTTCCAGCCCTAGTTGAATCTAAGGATTCTTCACGAGGTTTGCTGCACGTTCTGCATAATTTTAGAGATAAAAAAAAAAGCAGCTGACACAGAAATGAGTACCTTCCCAAAATGAGCCATAGACAACTGAATAATAGAGCAACTCCCTCATTACTAAAGCCAGATGTATAATTTATAAGCACACAATCTTTGATGAACATAGTGAGATTAAAGCGGTGGCCTTCTCGGAGCAGATTTTGTGACATCTGATTCTTCAAACGCCCACCACCTTAACGCACCACTCCTTAATCCCCATCATTATCCTCAACCTGGAAGCAGTGAAGTGGCGGTAAATTATGCCTCGCTGTCAGCCGCCGTCATAAAGCTCTTTTCAGCTGACGCCAGCGTGACAAGCCGAGCTGTAAGTACCGAGCGTCAGACCAGGGTGAGAGCTTTTTTCATTGCTCTCCCATATATCTGTCGTTTTCTCTTTTCCGACATGTTTCAGAAAATACGTTTTCAAATCGCCGGGGTGTGCGATTGAAAACGCCAGGGTTTATTTGGACCTGAGATGCAATTTTAATTTAAGTTTTGCTTTAAGAAAAATAAAATAAAATGCTAAGCACTGCAGATAAATTTTTTTTATAAGCTCAGGCAGGGATCTGCGAGTTTCTACCAACAATGTGAAAAAATAAAAGAATAAAAACTTGTGTAGCGCCACGGAAAAAGGTAAATTTTATAAATTTGTGCTATATTAAATGTTTTTTAAAATTATTTTAGAAAATTTAGGAAATTTATTTCTACTTTCTCATTGTAGAACAAAAATAGTAAAAAAGTTTTCATAATTATGGAAAAACAATAAACATAGGATCCACAGTTTAAAATGTAAAACACAAAACCATTAAATTAAAAACCCTGTACCATGTACAAAAAGAGCTAAAAGCACCACTTACACATGCTTTAATAATTAAAAACATTTTTAATTTAGGTAATAGTGGGGAAACCAACTATTCCTCCACTAGTTGGTGGAAATGGTAGAATTTTTTAAATGTTCTCAAAACAACAATATTATCATATACCGCAATAACATCCAACAAAATCTGTCATCTGAACTATTTAAGACATTTTTAACATTTATCCCTTACCAATTATAGGATATGAAATTAGTATTCTTCCTGCTCAACAATGTTTGTATCCTTGTTAATCTTATTAAATGTTTTAAAGGCTTTTGCTGGTGAATTTATTGATCTTTACTTCTTACTTTCCTTCTGATTTAAACTCAAACTTTATTCACAAATCAGAATAAGTTGATAAGTTTGTTGTAACGCTGGAAACTGACAGTAAAATCCCCTAAAACACTGATGTGAACATGTTTCCTCTGACAAACCGGAGCCATTACAGACATCTCAGGTGGATTAACAAGCAATACATTGAATATATTCAAGATTTTTACCACCCTCCAGTCGACGGGAGGGATTATAGGATAATGCATTTTCCTGCATTCACACCAACAAGCTCAGACGCTTCCTAACTTCTGCTTTATCTTTTATCCACCATTCTGGCTCTGCACCTCTGTGTGGTCTCCGGTTGCAGTTATGTAAGAGACCCAAAGCAGGTGTTGCAGAGAGATTGCATTTTTTATTTTTTCCCCTATAATCTATTTCTGGGCGCAGGTGGACGGTAAAAGTCTCACATTAACACACTTCCGTCAGTCAGCTGTTCAGGTGTTTCTGCTCTGCCGGGAAAGTCTGAGCACGTTTGGTGGAGATTTAGTGTTTCTAACGCGTTAGAATCGCGTTTGCTGATAAATGGCAACTCTAAGGTTGTAGGTAATTTGATTTTATGTGCATACATGCTCTGTGGAAGGAATCTCTTCTACCCGGGAATCAAGATGGAGATATGAGTTTTTTCCTGCAGTTTGTTCAGATTCTTGGTTTCCTGCTGCATTAGGAAGAAAGAAAATATTTGCATAGAGTTTTTATTTACAGAAACTTTAAAATGTATTGTAACCTTTGGACCATATTGTTGTTTTTCTCCATTATATTTTATTGGAACCTTATCTGGAAAACCAACACAAAGTATTACGTAACAGAAAAAAGGAGATGAATAAAAGTGAGGGATCAATTATTTTTCTTTTTACTAATTAAATAATTAAAATGAGCTTGATAATTCCCATTCTGATGATTAATATTTTTTGAAGGCCAATTTCGTTTACACAGAGATCATAACTCGTTTTGTTTAAGGTTTTGGTTGTTAGTCAGGTTAGTTTTTACCATTTTATTTGTTGATTTTGATTGTCGTGTTTTGCTGTGGATATTTAAAATAACTCCCAGTTCCAGTATGGAGGGTCCTTTACAAAATTAAAGTTTATTGGAGGGAGTGACCTTACATTATATTACAATTTTTATCATTGTTAATAATAGTAAATGCTGAGACAATTTATTGTCCAGCAAAATGTGTTATTGTGACAGGCCTTGTGATGGACTTGGACAACCACCCTAACATGGTATTGAAGTTTAATGTGTCGCGATAAAATTTAAACAATACGAATACTTTCGCAAGCCACTGTTTTAATGGATTGACTGCGAATATTTCCTGCAAACTGACAAAACGGAAAAGTACGGAAGAGAATTAAGGCCATCAAAAAACAAACAAAACAAATTCTAACTTAGTTTCAAAATTCTTACTTTTTTCTCAGAAATCTGACTGAAAGCTCAAAATTTTAATTCTATGTCAAAATCTAAATAAATAACCAGAGATTCTTGGTGTCAATTATGCTGTTAGAATATAAACATCATCACTTAACTGTTTATTCCTTGTCATAGGATGTGTAAACCTGCATTTTATTCACAATGAAAGCCTTCTCCACATTTATTTGGTAGATTTGAGTTTTAAGACTTGATGTGCCTGATGGTGTATAAACAACAACATTTCTGAATCGGAGTCAGAATCCGGAGTTTAAAGTCAGATTTTTCTTTCAGTGACCCTCACTTCTTTGGTAGGAAATCTGTAATAGTCCAACATTTAACCAACATGCGTACATTTGCATGAATGCGTAGCAAATTAATGGTCAAGATGGCTTTTAAGAAGGGCGTTCAGCTGCTGACAGAACAGGTCATTATTACTGAAACCGCGGCCGACTCAACAAAAAATACACGAGAGATATAGGAAAGGGTCAACGTTGAATCCTTTTAGATCAAAAGTTAAGGAAGACATGAGAGACTTATTGTGGAAGTGAAGGAGGAAGGGGAAATAGATGGAGATAGAAGTGAGGGCGAATAAAAGACGGGACTGAAAGAGGAGGACCGAAGCGAGATACTGAACTGTGCTGCATGGGAAGGAACAGAAAAGACGTACGAAGCAGCAACGGCAAGAATTTACAAGGGCTGGAAAAAGGAGCTGGAATCCCAGATAAAAGCCAGTGATGCAGATTTGATAGTGTGGCTGTGAAAGAGATGGAGTGCATTAGGGAACAAAACCATGAAAGATGCATCAAAGAGCGGGCCGTTCAAGCTACTGGGGGTTGAGGAAGAGTAGAAAGGGTCACTTGAAAGGACTTTTCTACAACAAAAGAGATTAATGTAAGATGAAGAAGAGACAGAATAAAGGGGAAATGTGTGGGATTTTTAGCCAGCCCAGAGGAGTTATTTCTGGATTAATGTGACAGGAGGACGAAGAAACTGAATATGTTTGAAGGAGATTTTGAAAGTTCAGGCGGAAAGTTGAGGCCAGTTTCCTCTCGGTCCTTTCTAGGAAATAATTTCTGACATTCTTAAACCGTAGCTGCGTTTCCATTACAAATGTGCGCAAAGCTTTGCCGTTATTTCACTAACGTTGAAAATACAAACACAGTTTCGCAATTGCGGTGTTTCCATCATAAGAGATTTAAATAATTAAAATCACACGTGAACAAGTTTGTTCATGTGATAAATCATGAAAAAACGTGTGCCATCGTCCTCCAACTACTTCCTGTTGCCTTCTTCTTCGTGGTTTTTGCCAGTGGTAATGTCTGGCTATTGATCATGTGACTTGTGTGATGTGAAAAAAGAGTTTCCATTGCAGTTTTGTGAAATGAACCAATTTCATCCCAGCACCAAAACTTATCTAAAAGCGAGAGTTCTTTTGAAATTGGTGCGTTCCCACTAAGCATATTTATTTTTGGTCAAAGGAGAAACAGCTGTTGAAATTAGCCAGACCAGTGTAGAGTAACGGAGGGAGGAAGAAGGAAGGAGTGGCAGCAGGAAAAGGATGCAGAGAGGGGTGCAGGTATAAACCGAGGTCATTATTCTGTCCATTTCTGTCCGCCGTGGATTGATCCACAGATGGGATACACACGCATGAGCATACAGAGGTGGTAATAGGTGCTGAACCCTTCATTGATTTAATTGGGTTTCTATCTCATCCTGAGTTGGTTTGTTGTTTACTAGTATCCAGCACACACATACAAATTTGTATTAACTTATATTTTAAGGAGAACTGAAGAGGTTTTAAGATAAAATCAGAATCAGAAAATACTTTATTGAACTCCCAAGGGGAAATTGCTTATTTGTTGACAAGCTACTCCCATCCAAAGTGTTAAATATTAGCAATTACAAATATAGCCATGGGTGATATAAAATTTGTGAAATCCCAAGTAATCTAAATCTGACCCAAATATAAAGTAAATGAAATCGAATTAATAAAATGAAATAAAGTATGTACATGGAAATATGTGAATTTATAAATCTATAGATGAGTCCAGAGTAAACTTATAGATTTTGAAATAGCATTAGGTGAAAGAAAAATCACAAAATATGCGTATCATAAAATGAAAATACATATTTTCCGGATTACAAATAGCATTTCAATGAGTGGATGAATATGGACGCGAATGGCGCCTTACGTTATTGTTACGTCCGGATATTTAGCGCATGCGCAAAGCGCTGGAGGATAAAAAGCCTATTCCTTTACGACCAAAAAATATGACTGGAGTCTTTTTTTAATCTACTTTAAATATATATACATATAAAACGTTGTCAGAACTGAATAAGTAAGCTCCGACGAGTAAATTGCTACACGAACTTACAAAAACAAAGGCAAATAGAGGGAGGATGACGTCACCACAGACAACAAGACGAAACAACGAGGAGCTTATCTCCGTGCTCGTGTTATACAGGTATGTGCTGCATTTAATCACCAGAATATAAATTCATATTAATGTACTAAATCCACAAATTGTACTTTAGACATAATAATAGGTTCTGACCGTTTTTACGTTCCCGTGTCGGACTTTATGCGCGTCGTCTTGTCAGCCATGACAGTCCTGGTCGCGAGAATCCAAATCTGAAGCGTTTTCACTCGATTCTGAACATCCGGCGGTCGGTTTAGGGTCTTCCACCTATGATGGTTTTATATAATTTACTCCCATAAAGCCTTCCGGTATTTCTTCACATGCAGAAACGGGGCTTCGTCATCCATTTCTTCTTGTAAACAACCAGACAGTAGCGTCGTTTCAGTAGCTCGCTGGGGCACAGTGACGTCATGAACCGAAGACGACAAAAATCACCTCATTTAAGAATAAAATACTAACGACAACAAAAAAACTCACTTAATAATTTATTTACAATAAACGCTAAAGACAAATTATTTAAACTTTAGGTCAGAGAAATTGTATCTGGTATGTTTTGTGGTAGTAGTTCACCAAGTATTTTGAGATTTGATTTTAGTTCTTTATTTATTAATAACAACCATAAATTTGTAAAACTAGCATTATTGGACAGAAATGCCAGGAAAGTATGCAAATGCACATGTAAAAGTTTATTTAATTTAAATCTCCCTGTTTACAAAGGCTAATACAACAAAGATGTGAAATAATGGTAACACATTGGCAGCTCAGCCAAGTCTGTTGCAATAAGCAATAAAAAAATTAAGCGGATGATAAATTAAAATGAGCTCAATAATTTTTATTCTGAAATTAAATATTTTTTTATTCATGGTTTTGGTTGTGTGTGGTTTTGATAATTTCCATCAAAATTTGTTATTGTGACATTGCTAAGCTGAAATGTAGCCGTTTTAATAAATTGAGGAAAACTGTTGAATCTTGAAGTGCTGTATTCATCTTTGAGCAGGCAGCAAGTGAATAAATATGTGCAAGTTGTGCTGTAATCTGGAGCTTTATGGATAAAATATTCTGTTTTGTGTCAGAATGCTTGTTTTTTTTCTTATAATCTGTGTATCAAATGGCCTTTTCTGATGCTACGCTCGATCTGAGGGGGTCTGAACGTCACGTCTGCCACAAACCAACGGGTTAGCGACTGTTTCTGCAGATATATGCAAATGTAGTCTGAATAAATGCAGCAACAAGGTCAGATGAGACGGCGTTACAGCTGTTTCTCTGATGATATTCTTAGAGATCAAAGAGGCTGGAGCTGCTGGTGAGCAGAGCGTTTGGAGAACACGGGAAAAATTCAAATTAAACTAAATGTCAGTGATGTTTTGTGAGGAGAGGACTATGAAAAATACAGAACCACAGACTGGAAACAATTATAATCAGCCCAGTTTGGGCATTGTGCTTTCTTTGGCATTTTTAAAGTGCACTTCATTTATTGTGATTTTCCTTGAAATTTACATTATTAAATGTCACAACTTGTTTGTCTAGCAGGTGTTCGGTAAATGTTGTCATTTTCCACACTTTAGATTCTTCTTTGCACCCATTTTATTATTCCGAGCTACAATATTGTAGTTCAATGGATAGAAATTCATTAAAAATTCATTGTTTTTAATGGAAATTATACAATTTTTATGTCTTTTATCACACTTCACCTGTGTTTAAAACCATATCAAGTCAACATTAGATAATTTCTCATTTCTCATTAGAGAATAAACCTTATTTTTGCTGTTTAAATAGACTCTATTTCTACATGTGTGACAGTACGGAGGTCTAACAAGGATATCCAGTGTCATCTGTTAGCTCAGTTAACAGATGTCCTCAAATCATCGCTCTTGGCTTAATCAAGTCAGACAGTTAATATTTTCGTGATTCATTGTTCACAAGAGCGGAAAGAAGACAGGGCAGGACAGCTGATCAGGTAGCCTGTGTAGATGATGAGTTGTCAGTCAGAGGGAAACATGCAGTAAATAATAACTCCAGTCCCTCCTTTGGCAGTTTTAGGGCATATTTTGCAGCATTTTCTACACTTTTTGGCAGAGGTAACAGTCTTTAACCGTTCCTCGATGTGCAATATCTATATTTCAGGAGTGTGCAACTTCTGCATGTTTCAGATTTGATTTAAAAGGGTTAATTTTCCACTTAGAATGTCTTAAAGTTATGCCGCATTCTGCTAATGATCCATAAACTTGATTCTGATGTGTTGAACCAGGAAGAGATCTAAAGTATTCAGGACATCAGACTTTAAGGACTGACCATTAACATCACTGATCTGGATTGTCTTTAGTCCTGGGTCCATGTCTACTCTTCACAGGTTCTGTTCAGTGTACTCATTTGGTTTTCTGTATGAGATTAAGGGAAAACTCACACCAGCATTGTTTAATTTGTTTTAATCCAACCCCAGTTCGTTTGTGGAAGTGTGAATGCGAACTCAAACTCTGGTACGTACCAAAACAGTGATCTCTGATCCACCTAAAAACCTAGGTCTTGGCTCGGTTGAAGTGAACTCTGGTGTCGTTCGATTGCATATGGGGACGCCAAGCGGACCGGAGACCGCTCCAGAAGCAGAGACCGCTACAATGCAGGGTATTCTGGGTAAATACAGCCTAGTGAGTCTAGAGCTAGCTGTAGAAATGGTTCATGGTCTTTTACCAAAGACAAAAGAGAAATCCTACAACAGCTAAAATCTGATGCTCCTCCATTTTTGCTAACAATTTGTGGAAGGAAGTTTCGGTCATGTCTTCTTTGGAGGTTTTTGTGTCATTTCCTTCAGTGGTTCTTGTTGCGGCGCCCCCATAGGTGAGGAGGAGAACAGGTTTTTCAAAGTGTTTGGTTTTGTTTGACACAGAGCAATGTGAAAGTGAACCGCGTCAGCTGAAAATGTAACAAATGTTTCAATTTTAGTCCCCCATTGAGCCAAGTCTACCAGACTATCAGGTGTGAAAACACCTTTAGTGCTGTGGTTGAGATGGTCGTAGCAAAGCAGGAACATTTCTGTGTTTATCCAGTCATATTTTACATTATTTAGCAGTAACTTGGCAATTTGTGTCATTTTGCTGTAAAAGTTCACAAGATTTTTGTTGAAAATCCTGGTATTTTGAATAGTTTATGATACTTTTCACTGGTTTCCCAGGATCCAAAGCATTACAGTTGGGTTTCTTTTCCATATATTGATCTTTTATTTTATGCCAGACCAACTTTGGCTGTTTGTTGTTGAAAATTTGTCACCCAAAGCATACATTCCTGGTTCAAGTCCCAGGAGAGTTTGCTATAGATGGTACAACTGAAAAGAGTTGGTGTGAAGATTTTGTCTAATGGTTGTAGATATGTTGTGATTTCTTGATGTTTTTACCCAATAAGTAAATATTTGCGTATTACATGTTGGAGTTTTTGCACATCCTAAATATCTGCGTAAAAATGCTGTATTTATTTCAAATAAAAATGTCAGGACAAGTTCTTAATAACAGACTGAATAATGAAGTGCAGACTTTGAATGTACAAAAGGGATTACTGAACATATAGTTACCAGAGTGGTTCCCCGTTATGCTAAAGTGGAATATATAAATTTTTTTTCTGAAAGTACTGCACTGCTGTGTTTTATAATGATTTTGGGGAGAGGTGCTGCAGAAAGGAGCATTCTGATGTCAGTGCAGTGGAACGGCAGGTAGCTCCTACTGGTTATGCCTGCTGTCAAGTCCAGAGGTGCTATAGCAGTTTAATGAGCTGGCTCACAGTTGGACAGAAGACACTGCAGTATGTCATGTAAAGAAGGGAGGGTATAAGTTGAGACAACATAACTTTTTGTGGGAAGAAAAAAAGTAGTTTAGAGGACAATCTGCAACTCAGCATATTGGACTCTATTTATATTGCAGCTTATGATCGCTGACAGGATTGGAGCTCAAAATTATTGCAGTTCCTTCTACATGTAGCCTCAAAAGATTGGGGTTGCTAGCATGGCCAGGCTATGTCCACTGACTGTAGATCTACCGTGTGGGAATGTTGAAAATCCCCTCTGTAATGTTTTCGCTCACATAAACTCTTACACAGTGAGAACAGGGAAAGTTACGTCAAAAGTAATATGGCTGTGATGTAGATGAGTCAGAGTGCATCAGAGACTCGGCTAGCAAAAGATGCTAATGTTACAGTACTCAATCTGCTAACATTGCTAATGCTACTATACTAATTCCAGAAATAATCTAACTGGTTATAAACTAGATCCAATAAAATGCATCAGACTCTCAGCTAGCTAAGGATGTTAATGTTAGTATATGCAATCAGCTAAAATTGCTAATGCTACCATACTAATTCTAGCGATAACCTTACTGGGTTATCGCTAGAATAACCCAGTAAGGTTATTCTAGCGAATAACGTTACTGGCATTCTGACAAATGGATGTCAGAATGCATCAGACATCCATTCAGCTAAGCATGCTAATGTTACTTGTCATAACATTGCTAATACTTTACCTAATAAATTTTCAGAATAATACAGCATTACCTTACCCTGCTAATTGTAGCATAATATAGGCTTAGATATATTATCTAAGCCTATATTACACCTACTGATAAATTCAGTAGGTGGAATTTATCAAGTTTCAAGTTGGAGGAAAAAATAAAAAAGAATAAACTGAGAATTTAGTTTATTTGGAAAACTGAAGAGTCTTCAATTTTCAGATTTAGTTCACAGCATAATAAACCGAGCCAACTTTCATTTACCTGATCTGCTAGAGAGCTAACATGCTAATGTAACTTCCAGAAAATCAACTTGGACAAAAAACATGCTATTTGAGCCACTGAAATAGTCGATGATATCAAGTTTTATTATTTCTATTTTCTTTAACGCATAAATGACTATTTATATTAATAGGGTGAATTTCAAAAATCAACTATTAGCAAATTTTCAGATGGTAAATTACACAGTTAAGTAAAATGTAACAAAAAGATTGATTGCTATCAAATGTTCTTGCAGTTTCAAGATATTGAGTGAGTCAGTGGCACAAAAGATAAAAG